TTGACTGAGATGATTGAATTCCTCTCTTAATCCTAATTCTCCTAAATACAAAAGTATGTTTTTAAGTAGCAAAAAAGAGAAGTCTTTTTATTGTCCAGCTTACAAAAGCTATACATCTACATAAATACTCTAAGTTATTGGTTTTGAAAATGGTAAATAATAGAGGCTACTCTTATTCACTGAGACAAAGGACTATTTCTACTTCAAAGTATAGGCACTGAAAAAAGAACTAACTCGTATACTTTACCATCAGCCTGTATTTTATGAATGTTTATCTGTGACTCTCAGCTCTACATCCTGCTTCTTGTTCACTAGAATCTTTCCTGCTTTTGTCTAAAAGAGCCTCCCAGGAGAAGGGAAAGGTGGTCTTCTTCAGAGTCCCATATTGTAATTGTCACAAGGTTTTCCGACTTTCTTTCTTTTTTTTTTAATTTTTCAAGACAGGGTTTCTCTGTGTAGCTTTGCGCCTTTCCTGGAACTCACTCTGTAGTCCAGGTTGGCCTCGAACTCACAGAGATTCACCTGCCTCTGCCTCCCGAGTGCTGGGATTAAAGGCATGCGCCACCACCGCCCAGCAGTTTTCAGACTTTCTAATTATGTATTCCTATAATTGGGAGAAAATCACCAATTTATAAAGTCTTATTTCAATCTAAAATAAATCAAAATTTCAATTAAGCAAACACTTTGATGATGAAAATCATCAATTAAAAACTTCATTTATGAATCAAAACTTAATCTAGGGTAGATGTTTCATTAAAAAAACTGGTAATTTTTAAAGAAATATTTTAAAAGATTAATGGACTATAAACAAGCTATGTGACTGTCATCTAAAAAACAGAGTATTCATATATTTGCATGCCCATTTTCAATGCAGCCTTATTATTATTATTATTATTATTATTATTATTATTATTATTATTATCCATGATAGCCCAAAGGTAGACACTAAGCAAAGAGAAGATGGAAAAGTTCTGGAGATAAACAGTGGTGATAGTTACACAACATCTCGAGATATATTTAAGATCACAGAAGTGTACATTTAAAAATGATTAAAATGATAAAATATAATTTTATTTATTTAAATTTTTACTGGAATAAGACACGGTACAACTGAGTAGCATTCTGAAAACTGAATCTCTACCTAATCACAGATGAAGATAACAAATAAGTAGATATTCTAATTTTTTAACCCATTCTACCGCTCTTTGCTCCCTGGTCCATTAGTTTATCTGATTTTATTAGTTCATTTGAGTTACAGACTTTATGATGAAAACACCAGACTCCAAAAAAGAATCACTACTTGTTATGTTTAAATATTCTGAATTCTTCTTGAAGTCTAGACTATACAACCAAAAATTACAATTTCTTACCTCCAAGTAGTATTTTTATATAAGCATTTTCTTTTATATAATAAAAATTCAAACCAACTTTATTCATAATCTTCACTAGAATTTTTGAAGAATTATTGATCACCAACTCATTAAATTCATAGTAATCTTTTGAGTTCATTATTTTCATGATGAAGCTACAAATAAAATCAGAATAATAACTTGACTTCTGTTTATAAGGTCTTATTTTAATCTAACTTAATCAAAGTTTCCATTAAGGGAACATATGACAGAGAGTTGTGTATATATGTCACAATGAAAAATATGTTCTTTGCAGTCCATGGCCTAAATTTGAATCTGAGTTCTACCACTTACTAGAAGCATGGCTGAATAAATTATTCTCGAGTCTCCATTTCCTTACTAAAAATGTAGCTATCAATACCTAAGAGTTATTATGAGGAAGGCAGGCACAAAGCACCTCCCAGATGTCTAACACAGCACCAGCCTGACAACAGCATAGCTGTGGGAAACAGGTACTGCTGGAGGCAGGCCAGGATGCGAGAAGGGCCCCAGCACCTCACTGCTGAACCACTCCTGCCCGGGGATGGATGCTAGGGGCGGAGAAGCCATTGTCTTCTGTTGTGTACCCACTGGTGAGACCAGCAAGCTTCGATACACAGTTCCAAACTCACGGTCATCCAGACAACCCAGGTTAAACTCAGTGGGTCATAAACAAAACAGAGACATGGATGTGGGAAAGGGACCTGTAGGGAGGGTGGGGGTTGACAGTGACGAGAAAGAGATAAAAGAAAGTGGGGTAAGGATCAGGATGCATTATATAAGACTGTCAGATAAGCAATTTAATTAATCAAAAATTATTGCCTTTAAAAACCCTAATTGAAAATACATTTCTCTAGACACACATTGAAAGACACACACATACACAGAGAGGGAGGGAGGGAGGGAGGGAGGGAGGGAGGGAGAGAGAGAGAGAGAGAGAGAGAGAAAGAAAGAGAAAGAGAAAGAGAAAGAGAAAGAGAAAGAGAAAGAGAAAGAGAAAGAGAGGGGAGTAAGCACAAGGGACTGAAGAGCATTATTATATTAAAACTTCTAAATATGCATTAAAATGAATTAAAATATTGCTTAAATTTCATAACATTTCTTTTGTTTACATCTTTCAAATAACAAGATTTATAATATGTTAATTAGATTATATTGCACAGAAAAAACGGGAAACAAGCCAGATGCATGTATGTGTATATAGAAAACACAAAGTATATATGCATGCATTCCTTTGTAATGTGCTATATACAATTTAAGGAAGCTGTATAGAAATACAAGGAAAGGGTCGAAAAGTAAACAGGATATTCCCATCCACAGAGCACAATGCAATGAGAGTAAAAAGGTCCATAAATACAGGCAAATTTTAACTGTGTGAAAAACTCACTCAGTTCACATTATTGTCAAAAAATTCATAAGCTCAGAAAAGTTGGACATTCTCATCGCCTAGGCAAAAGAAGTTCCCCAAACAGGTTACTACTGCCACCACCACCCAAGACTTTTAAAGTATGCAATATCTGATAATGGAATTTCTTCCACAACTTCACTTCAAAGCACAAAGAACCTCGATACTATAAATAGCGTGTATCAACCTAAAGAAAAAAAAGCATACCTTATAACACTTGTAAAATTTCATCACAGGCTCATGTTTACAAAGTTGTATTCTTTGGAATCCTAGTGGCACAAGACACCGGAGTAGAAGGATAAAGAGGATCTGTAGTCTAGAAAATGCTGCATCATATAGTTTTCCAGATTTATAACAATACCTCCACACAAGGGCCTGAAACTTGCTGCAATCAAGGAGAGCTTTCTACATTTATCAACTGGTGCTGGTGTTTCCCAAGTTCACCTGGCACAGAACTCTTTCTCAGGAAATGTCAAGGAGCCAGTATGCCTCATAGCAAGTTACTTTGTAGAAAATGTAATAAATTATCCATTATATGTAGTCAACAAGCAATTTCATATGTATCTGTTTCCTCAAAAAGTAGCCACTTAAAGAATTTGATCTTCAAGTAAATCTTATTACATGTTTAAAATATTTATTTCAAGGGCAACATTTATAATCTTTAGTGAGTTGGAGTTCTTTTCAGAAGATAGGTAGATAGGTAAGTAGGTAGATAAATGTTAGAAAGAAAGGAAGGGAGGAGGGAGGGAGGGAGGGAGGGAGGGAGG